TGTTGTACTGGCGGGCGGCAGTGGCAGTGCCACCTGCCCAGGGAAGGGGAGGGAGAGGTGGTATTGTAGCCACATGTGGAAGCCAGAATCAGGTTGGAAGGGACACTTAAATGCCCACCTTGGGCACAACTGTCCCTTGCGAGTTTGCTTTGGCGAAAATCATGCTCCCCTTTTTGAGGGACCTTGAGACACCCCCACCCCTTTCAGAATCCAGCCGTGCCCCCATCCATGTTATTTCCAGAAGCTGGAGCTCTGGGGATACCAGTGGGAGGCCAAGTGAGGGCATGCAGGGCAGGCATATGGTGGCCCTGGCCACAGCACCCGGTGCCCACCCCCAGGCCAGCCGTGGACCAGGCAGGGACTGTGGTTCCCTTAACTGTTGGCCTGACTGCCTGGAGCCCAGGGGTCTGGCCAAGAATGACCACTCCTTCTCCCCTCAGTACACACGTGAGCCAGAAGCCCAAGCCCATCTTACTAGGCCTCCCTGCCCCAGTCCCTCTCGACCTCCAGAGGACCTGGTCACAACACAGGTTAGGCTAGGTCAGCACAGGCTCCCCACCAGACTTTAAGTCCACACTCACTGCACTTCCAGGGCCCCTGCCCTTCCAGGGCCCCACCCCCTGCCCCCCCCCCGGCCCTTCACCTCACCTCCCACCACTGCCTTTGCTCTGTGCCCACCAGCCCTGCCAGCCTTCTCGAACATTCTCTGCACCTGCCTTTCGCTCTGCCTGGAGGGCCTGCCACCTGTCTTCACCTGGCCAGCTTCGTCCTAGGAAGAGTGGGTGTCACCCCAGATCAGCCTCCCTTCACACACGGTCCAGGCCCTTCCCCTCCCCCCGTGGGATGGTCCAGGCCCTGGATGTGAACTCCCCAAGCACAGACACATGTCCACACCAGTAGCCTGTGGGCTCAGACAGTGCCTGGAGCTTAGGCAATGCCGACTGTCACTCAAGATGCGTTTAGCACACGCTGCCTGCCGGCCAGCTTCTGCTAAGCACTTGGTGTCAGCTACCTCATAGAAGAGGCCCAGCTGTCCCCTCTTGCCCCCAGGGTGCAGCAGGGTCTACTTGTAGGCTGGGGGGCGGGAGCACGTCAAGCAGGCCAGGGCACAGGAATATGTACTTTGATCGGATCCCCGATCGCCAGCCCCGGCTCCATGAAACGAGTGGCGTTGAGAGGGACAGGCCCGCTGCAGGTCCTGGCTACCACTTTCCAGCTGTGTGACTCCAGGGTCACTGCACTTCTCTGAGACCCCATGTCCTCATCTGTAAAATAGGAGTCCCAGTCCCCAGCTCTGGGCTGGCTCTGATGCAGTCCAGGCTGTTTGCACACCTGCTCACAGTCATCCCCGGTCCAGAGCTGCCCCTTGGCCTGCCAGCCCCACGCAGCCCGGCGCACGCACACTCAGCCCCTCACACAAACCCTGCCTCTCACTTTTCATTCTTGTACATTGACGTCAGCGCTGCTGAATCATGAAGCTGAGGTTTGAGAGAATCTGCACCGCCGAGGAAGCCACATGGTGCACACAGACACACACACACACACACACACACACACACACGCAACGCAGGCTTTTCCCCTGCACAAGATTTCAGTCACACGGGCTGGAGTGCAGCTCCCTGGGGATTTTAGGTCACTGTGCGTACGTTGGTATAGATTTCTGTTTTCAATGACTCACAAAGCTTAGGGGCCAGCTCTGGGGAGTGTGATCAGAGAGGACTTTCGTCTTAGCGTTCTCCTTCAGGTTCCTAAGAATGGGTTGTGTACCCGGCACTTGTGTGATGAAACAGGATTTTGAAGCTTTTTTGAAAGGAGGACAAACTTTACATACTTTGTAAACTACCTGCTAACATTGCCTCCTTTCGATGAGGGCCTGCTTCCTCATCTGTAAAATGGGCTGTTAATAGTTCCTAAAGCCTCGGGCACAAGGCCTGAATGCCCTCAGCAGGTGAGGGGCTGATGAGGGAAGGGCTATATTTAAGTATTAGCAGCTGCTGTCCTTCTGGTGACAGTTAGGTCCTCGTGGTGCCTGGTGGCACCTGGCTTCTGAAATAGCACTAATGGGTTTGAAAAATCGGGCTCTTCCTCTTGTGGTGTGCCCGACTTTGCCTGTCTGGGCCCATCTCCGCATCTGTGAAATGGGGAGAGGTTTCGAACTCACAAGCGGGTTGTAAGGATCGGCACTCACTTAAGGGTCTGCGGTTTTTACTAGTAGACAGCCCAGTCCCCAAGCTTGACCTCCTTAGGTTTCCCCATTTCTCCAGGTAGATGTGCCCAAGGGAGATAGCAGGGGAAAGGACACGGACAGGGCTTAATTCATCCAACAGAGAGAGAGAAAGAAAAGAAAAAAGAAAAGAAAGAAAAGAAAAGAATAGAAAAGAGAAGAGAAGAGAAAAGAAAAGGAGAGCAGAGATTTCTTGGAGGCAGAGACAGCACCTCCACCCGTCACCCCACCCCACCTTATTAAGAGAAAATTGCCGAAGCCGAGAGCCTCAGTCTCTTCTGGCCACCCTTAAGCTTGAGGCCTGGAACCTATTTAATCCAGACAAGCCTGGGCTTCTCAGCTCTACAGCCACTGGGCTAATTTTATACTGCGCTTCTGAGTCTGAAAGGTGTTATTAAGTATTAGGACACTCCATTATGAGCGTGTCCAAGGCTGCAGAGAGCCACCTACCTCCCAACGATGAAGTGTGACGTGTCTCCGCGCTGCTTAACCCTAAACCCGGAACGCGCTAGTCGCCGTGTGTTCTGCACTGCGGCCTCGGGTTCCCAGCAAGGCCCATCCGTCAGGCTGGCTGCAGACACAGGCACCGCAGCTAGCCTGCGTCCTGGGCTCTCTCCACTGCCAGCCCTCCCCACAAACATCTGGAGCAGCCCTTTCCTGCTGGGGCCTCTGAAAACATCACCCCGCCCTGATGCACAGAAGGAAGCCCATTTTAGGGGTAGAGGCTGAGGCCCAAGGAGGCAAAGGGAATTGCCCAAGGCCGCCGGCAGGGCCCTCCTGCTACCACAGACCACAGAGCCGCTTTCGGCTCCAGCTTGGTTGCTCACCAAAAAGTACAGACAAGGAGGGAAGAAGGGAAGTCAGACCAGGCCTGAATCCCCGTCCCAGGGAGAGGCTGTCTCCCCACACTGAGTTTCCGAATGCGCCACTCCTCCTTCCAAAAGCTCAGCAAGCCACCCCCCACCCCCACCCCTACACTCTTCCTGGAAGTTGCTGTGGCCATAGAACCAAAGAAGTTTCCTCTCTGTCATCCATCTCAAACCCATTCTGGGTGGACAGCCAGAGGCCTGGGTGTCATCTCTCACACAGGAATGGCCACAGGCAGACTGACCCGCTCCTGGGTGTCTCCTCTGTAAAGGAGCTAAAGCCCAAGCCTCATGGGTGCCTCTCCATAGGAGAGTATGCCTTAAAGAAGCACGGGTGCTCCCAGGGGCCCCGAGAGGCTAGCCTCTAAGTGCTCTCCTGGGGAAGAGCCGCGCAGCCTTAGTGGACAGGCACCCAAACCAACAAAAGGTCCCTGCTCCCCTGAGAGCCGGGGGCCCAGCCAAGAACACCTCCCCACACGGTTTGCAACCCAACAGGTCAGGTTTAAGGACCCCCACCCCCAGACCTGTTCAGAACCCAGGAAAACGTTTGGCCAAAGCACATGCTCTAGAAATCTTTTTTCTTTAAAAAAAAACTTTCATAATAAAGTTTATTACCTAAATGGCTGTAAAAAATATAAAATAGGATTCTGCACAGCAGAAAAATAAAGCCAGAGACCCTCCCCCAACCCCTGGTTTGTGCAAAGATACTGGGTATATGTAAACATGAAGAGGTAGGAGGTGCGAGTTCAGGTCCTGGCCCCAGATACAGTTAAGTTAAGCTGCTACAACGACCGGGGGGGAACCCAGAGGGAGCACCGGGAGGGGTCCCCCAATAGAGGCTGGCGGGGGGGGCCCCCCAAAGGGCGGCGCCGCCCCCTCCCCCAGCCGAGAGCGGCCCCCACACCCGCTCCCTCCAACCCAAGTGGGGAGGGTACCCATATAGTTCCAGGCAAATAATAATAATTAATAATAGGCAATAATAAGGCGACCCAGTTAATGCTGCGTGCACGACGGGCCGGTCAGATCTGGAAGGGGAAGGAGCTCAGGTAATCGCGGAGGACGGGGTTGAGAGGGATGCGCGTCAGGTTCTCGCGGCCCACGGTGGCCACGATGCGCTGGCGGCACAGCTCCTGCAGCGGCCGCACTCGGCGCTGGCGCAGCGGGGCGCCCAGCATGCGGCGTGGCGCCGCCACGTAGTGCTCCAGCAGCTCGAAGAGGCAGTCGAAGCTCTCGCGGCTGCCGTCCAGGTGGAAGCGGCCGGCCTGGAAGTGCACGCGGATGCTCGTGGGGCCCGAGGCCATCTTCACACTGAGGGCGAAGAAGCAGTTCCTCTGGCGGCTGTCGCGCACCAGGAAGGTGCCCACGGGCTCGGCACGCAACCGCTCGTGCGCCCCGTGCACGCTCAGAGGTCCCCAGTAGAAGCCGCAGGCATCGAGGAGCGCGCTGGTGCGCGTGATGCGCCGGTAGTCGGCGTGCGAGCGGAACGTGCGGAAGTGCGTGTCACCGGGGGCCGGGGCCGGGGCCGCCGGGCAGGGCCGAAGGCGCGCCGGGGCCGCGGGCGCAGAGGAGTTAGAGGAGGAGGAGGAGGAGGAAGACTCCGGGCGCCGTCGGGGCTCTGCTGCCGTGGAGATTGCATTGTCGGCTGCCACCTGGTTGTGTGCTACCATCCTACACGAGGGGCCAGCCGGAGGGGTGGGCCATAGCGTCCGGGGGTGCGCTGACGGGGGGAGACAGAGGCAGTGAGCTTGACTCGGCTGGGCAGGTGAGGGGCCGCGAGGCAACTTGGGAAGGGTGATGCTCCAGGCTCTCCGACCCTAAGGGACGAGGGCGGAGCACCAAGTCCGTGAGCCCCCTTGAGGTTCAGTGCGCTCATCTAGCAAACGGGCTTTGCCGCCCGTAGAGCCCTTCTCGGCGGGCACAGCCTCGGTGAAGGTGGAGTGGAGCCTCCGGGCAGCATTGAAAGGGGGGCGTGGAGAGAGGTGCGGGAGAGAAGCCTGCCCGGACTCCAGCCGTCCCCGCCTTGGCT